GGTGTCCTTCAGTTATTTCGTCGGTATGTTAGTGATAACTTCATCGTGATATTGGTCACTGACGTTCATAAACACTAAACAAATTTCTATTTATAGTATACTCATACTTTTTGATAATATTTATGGGATAATAAGAATAATAAAAAAGATACCCGAACAGAATAAATAAATATAAACGAGTATGTATAACATATACATCTACATACACACACACACAATATATATATCTTAGACTTGATATTTAACCTTTCCTTTCCTCGTGAAAATGATATTTACATTAAACATGTGACTGTAGAGTGTTACGTCAATTTCACGAGTGAATACTGAGTGCCAAAAAGAAAACAACAACAAACACATATGAAGTCTAATGCAGAATTTTGGCTGATCGCATTGGGCCTTAAGTGGCTATTAGAAGCTTGAAAACAACAATAATATAATGGCAGGTTCAATGCACCGGATAATTTAGTTCGTTGTAAGTTTAGGATCTGTATATGGTAGAAGATTCAGCAGGTAAATTATGTTCCTTTATGCATGACTGAATAAGATCAACACACCTGTGAACAAGCAAAGAGCCGTTTCTAAAATGTCATTTTAGAAATGATAGTTTCAACTTCAGTGAATATACTCTTCACAATAACAAGAATGAACAGGCAGAACTTAGAAAAATGTCCAATAAAAACACCATCTTTAGAAGAACGCTATACCTAATCATTCAACATTATGCAATTTAATCGTAACTTTATATTAGCCGGCAAAGACACGTATCAAACAATCAAATATTTGATACGGTTAGTGACCAGCACACTACCCAATCTCTATACAATACAAATAACTGATCTGAATCAGTTTAGGTTCTTAAAGTTGGGGTTTAGAACAGGAAAACATGCTGAGAGTTTAAAAAAACGACGAAGTGCACCACTATAACTTTTGACTATTGCAGAATACCCAGCATATTTGTTTTTGTCTTCTGATATGTGCGAAAAGCTACTCAAGGTCTACTTGCGCTAGTAGTAACCAATTTTAAACTGATAAGACCAGAGGAAGGGCAGTTAGTCAAAAGCAACAACTGCCAACTCTTGGTCTGCTCTTCCCTGACCAAATAGTGGGATTTAACTGTCATCCTTATAACGCGGTCACGGCCCCCAAAACGCACCGGCACCAGTGGTTGAGAAAATACTATTATCGACAACTCTTAAGCATGTTATACTCTCTAACCATGTAATATACTACTATATAACCATGTTACACACGACACTTAACCATGTAATATACTACTCTTTAACCATGTTACACAAAACGCTTAACCATGTAATATACTACTCTCTAACCATGTTACACACGACGCTTAACCATGTAATTTACTACTATCTAACCATGTTACACACAACGCTTAACCATGTAATATACTACTATCTAACCATGTTACACACAACGCTTAACCATGTAATATACTACTATCTAACCATGTTGCACACAACGCTTAACCATGTAATATACTACTATCTAACCATGTTACACACAACGCTTAACCATGTAATATACTACTATCTAACCATGTTACACACAACGCTTAACCATGTAATATACTACTATCTAACCATGTTTATATTATGATAGTGATATTCCCTGTTCCCCCTCTAACTACTTTCTTCATCGTCAATCGTGCTCAGTTTGGCGGCATATCAATACACCCATTACTCGACACTGCATTTTCTATTGTAACAATCCTGTGTGAAGGATAGTGAAGCCAATCTCACATTATATATATATATATATATCTTGATAAAATTTCCACATACTCTCCACTCTACGTGGACATCGGCTTCGAAGTCCGAAGATACAAAACTCCATTAATTGAAGTTGCAATGAAGAACTTGACAAGTATGTGTGGCTAAATGGGATTGTTTGTAACTGCAGTTTCTTTAACCATCTTTTTGATGAAAACGGCCAATAATTCTGGGATATTGTTGAATGCTTTTAAATTTTGGTTTGTAG